AGTTGCCCTCCATCCCAGGCTGCCTGACAGAGAGAGAGTCAGGTACACTAACAAGGCATATGAATTCTCACCTACAATCCTTTAGGATGCTAAGCCCCACACCAGAATTAAAGAAAAAGCTGTCAACAATTATACTAAATATAGCTCAGTACCTTTAAAAATGAACAATGGTAAAAGCCTTGAAATTTTTTTTCTTTGATGTGAATGGAGTCTTTGGCATTTGGAAATACAATAAGACGAATTAATTGCTACTCATTAGATCACAAGTCAGGCAAAGTATGAATGTGTCGTCTCTCCTCGGCATTAGCTGTTGCCTGACTGAAGGAGCCCCCTTTTGTATTTACTCCTGCCTTCTCTAATGATAAGCAAATTAGAGATCGTGGCTAGAAAAATTCAAGTGCGCTCTATCCTTCCTCCAAAACCTTCGTATGGTTTTGCGAGGTTTATCTTCTCAGGGGTTACGGCTAATAATTGCAAAGGTCATGTGAATCCACATAGTGCAAGATTAGAAACAACATCTGCAAAATTACTTCTTAGGAAACTATTTTGTGTTTTGTCTTTTTCTGAAATAGTGGTTTTGCAAGCAAATTGCTGTCTTTCCTCCCTGGCACTATGTTTTTATATTGCTGGTAAATGTATATTTGGAGAAAAAACATTGAGTAACTATCAAGAGTTTTTAAATCCATGGTCTTTTTTTGACTTTGCATATTTTTCCTGATACATTATTGGTAGCCTTCCATACGAATAAATTAGTCTGGAGTCTTAGATTCATTCCGAGATGAGAGCTATGAATAAACTATTTGGAATAAATTGATTTAGTATGCTGTTCATTAAAATCCTGTATATGGCAGCTGTAATGTATTGTGTATGCAAACACGTTACTTTTTTATGTTATATTTTAAATTTGTTTATGGTCAATGTCTAAATTATGAGATAATTGAATTCTGAGGATCATCAAAAACTAAGGACGTAGAGGGGAGAGAGCAGAAGACGACTGCCATGACATCCAGAGGCTGATTCATAGAAGATCCTGGAGCCATGTGTAATATCACTGGCTCTTGTCATGTATATTACATGTAGACATTTTCTAAACTGTGTACATTTCAACCATAAAAAGGAGGCAGTCAGCTGTAGTGCAAGCCATGCTCTGCTTCATGAAATATGAAAGCCTGCTTACTTAGTAACAATGACAATTTGAAAGGCTTCAGGCTGAAGAGTTTATGTGTGACGCAGCCTGCTGGACTGTGTGTGGTTAGGTCAGTGGAGCGATTGACAGCAGAAATTGGATAGTGAAGAAAGTGGGGTGATGAGACGTGCACCCCAGGCTCCAGTCTTAGTCATCTTTACTCTCAGGTCAGATGGGCCATTTGTTCTCAGCACCCATCCCCTTTCAACAGTCTCTCCACCCATGTTTCCTGATGCCTGAGTGCTTTCCTCATTCCAGGTCATGGGTTTGGATTAGGGTTCAGTTAGAAAAGGGAGATTCTGCCATTTCTTTGGCCACTCCCGAACCTTCAGCTTTCTGGTGACCTCATCCTTTGTAATCCCTATGGAAGGGAAGACATAAAATCAGTAGTAAAGAGTCAGTGCAAACTTGTCCAAGCCTTTTCCCGGCACACGTTTTTCTTGTTCATACATGATCAAATGTACACACACATACTCTCTCAGAGTATTTTCCGTAACTGGCGGTACGGTGGTTAAGTGCTCAGCTGCTGACTGAAAGGTTGGTAGTTCGAACCCACCAGCCACTCCATGGGAGAAAGATGTGGCAGTCTGCTTCCGTAAAGGTTATGCCTTACAAACCCTAAAGAGCAGTTCTGCTCTGTCCTATAAGGTCACAATGAGTTGGAATGGACTGGATGGCACATAGCCAACCACAGGACCCCATAAATAGAGTGTAGCATACAGAATTGACTTAATTACACTAAAAGTTTAACATGCTTATCCTTTGTAAATCTTACCTACATCTCAAAAGTGTTGGTGTGAAAACACTAGAATAAAATTAATGTGGTATGCAAATGTAGCATATGTTTTAAAATTTACAGGAGCTTCAGTTATTTGGATAGATTAGCCCTCCCTTTAGTCAGGGGGTGAGCCATGAGGATAGGCTAGAATGTTCAAATGTCCAGAGTGAAAGAGAGAAGCAGTTTACTCAGGTCTGACATTTAGAGTTAGAATGTTTTTTTCAAAGCCAGGCATGTATCTCTGGCCTGAAAATGACAATTCTGAGATCCTTCCATTGAAATCTCTTAGCTTGGCATCCTTCTGTGCTCCCATTTCAGCATAAGTGGGTCTGCAGCCAGGCTCTCCATTCTGATTTTGAGCTATCCCTGGTGGTGCTTATTATCTCCAGGGTTACTTTAGATTTTAAGCACAAATTTCTAATCTGTTTAATTTTCAAATGTATATCATATATAAGGGGGGAAATGTTATAAAATTAAATGAGTAGTCAGAATGTCTCCACAACAAGGTAGGAAATCACTGGTATAGATATTTTAGTCCATTTGCAGAAAATTGCCTATTCTCAAATAGGTAGGTCAAGTGCAGAAAGAACCTCTACTTGAGGTAAAATTTCCTCTCCACACTTGGCTTTTTCTCTATTAGAATAGGTGCTGAGAGCTGCCCAAGTTTTAACATCTTGCTCTCTTCTCATTAGCAGGTTTTTGGCTGTAGGTATTAAGATATTTTTCTTATAATGGAACTCATACTCTTAGCTTCAAATGTGTTATTCTGGGATTTAGACAATAAATTTCTTTGTAGATACAGAAGTAAAGATAATGTTAAGTGACTTAACCAAGATAATGCAGCTCATTAATGTCAGGGACAGGTTTGGAACCCACTCTCTTGACTCTCCAGCAAGTACACCTTTTACTGTCATAGAGCAAGTGCATTGTATAGGAACAATTGTCTGGCTCTCCTGCTTCTGAACTTTTGTTGTGATTTGGGTTCCTAGTAGAATGCTGGATAACAAGAGAACCAACCTTATTTTATGTAACAGAAGAAAAAGATCATATTCTTCTGTGTTTTGTGACATAAACACGGCTAAGGTGATTACTTTTTTCCTTTCCCTCACTAATAATCACTGTTAAAAAAGGAAACTAGCAAATTTTCATAAATGTTTGGAAGAATTTGTTAATAAGTCTAGCAAAGGGTAGCATTTCAAGCAACTCTAGTAGAATAAAGTGGGTTATGGAGTTGCAAGGAACTAATTTGTGTTTGGACCTGGATTTTCAATCCATGAATTGCCCCACCCAAGTGTGCATAAACACGCTCTGTATTGAACAACAAAATCACCCCCATCATCAGCATTTCATAAACATGGGGCGTCAGGTCTGTCAGAAACTCCATGACATTCTTTTGGAATGGTGCCAAGCCTGCAAGTCTTTTGTAGTTATTTCTCTGAATTCAATCAGCTAAGCTGGCAGGAAGTCTCGGCTGCCATTTTCCAAGCTCCCCTAGCCGGAGCCCTCGAAAAGCTGTAAGGCTTCTTCCACACGGGTGAGGCTCCACTGGCCGTACTTGTACCACTCCTTCAATTTTAGAAATCACCTCAAGGACATTTATAACCTCTCCTTAAGGGTTAAGTGGCTTGGAGTTAGAGTCCAAAAAGAAACCAGGGAGTTCATATTACTGTCAGTATTCTTTGTCCAAATGTTTTTTGGACTATATACAGATCGCCCTATGAAGAGACGGATGGGAAAGGTGGCAGGTGAAGCCACAAGACCAGCTAAGAGTGGATTCCCTGGGACTATGAAGTCTAGATGCTTAGGGTTCATTTCACCTTTAGGGGATACTCCCCATCAGTTTAATTCATAAAACTCCATCTACTTCAAGATTGGTCTTTTTCTGGCGTCCTCAAGACCTGAAATATTTTCAGAGCTAAAAAACATTACTCCAAGGACAATAGCTGTAGGTTAGAGCAGTTGACAATAGGAAAGGGAGATTCAACTTGAAGAATGCCATCTGATGAGGAGGTAACAGGGACAGCAAGAGCATCACTCAAGAGTTCCCTGGGACCATTCCTTGGGGACCAGTAATCTCTCATCCTTCCAGGGCCCTCCATGTGCCATTTAGCTACAGCACGTGTCGTTATAGACATTCATATTGATAGTGAGCCTCACTGAAAAGCTGTTACATGATGCTCATTATGTTTTACTGTTGAGGGCCAGAGAAGTGTATGAAATATTATAAACACTTGTTGATATCTTAGGCTTTTTTCCAAGGGCTAATAATAAGCTTTTTGAAAATTCACATTGTGCTCCCTGGTAGTTATGAGGCAAAGTGGTGTCCCCACCTTGGGACCACTATAGATCTTTCTTAGAAACCCCTAGTAGTTGTGTTATAGGCTTTCATTTTTTTTTTTTTTTCCCCAAAACTTTTCTATTTGACCTTGCCTTTGGCACTTCAGCGTGTTTATTCATCACCTTTGATTAAATCTGTAAACCTTGAAAGCAGCCTCTCGGCTGATAACTCAGCATCTTAGCCCAAAGCTTCCCTTGACCCTTACTCTCTAAACTCCTGAATGGCAGCTGGGGAGGGCGCATTTTATTTTGTGTCATCATTTTGTTCCTGCTTTGGTGTTAAAAGAACAAGGATTTCACGCTTGGCTGATTGTAGAGATCTTCCACTAGCAGCCAGGAGCCTTGACATGTTTACCAAACATGTAAGACCCCTGCAGGGCCTGCCTCACACCTGGAGTCTGACCGTTTGTCCATCTACACTGGGGAAGAAGCTACAGCATCAGCTCAGAGGAGTTAGGCTAGGGTAGTTTTTGATTGTTGCTGTCACAGAGTACTTTTCTTGATAACTGTCCTAGATAGCTATCTGGATCCTGTATCCTTCTATAATGTGACGGGGAAGAACCATACTCTATGCATTTTATTGTACCCAAGTATTGTGTGGTTATATACCTATAAACTCTTTAACTTAAAGGGAATAAAAAAACAACACCCTGCTTTTGTACAATACCTTTTTAACAAACTGTTTGTTATTGTATCCAGGTAACAAGCATGGTAAGTATTTTCACCAGATTGAGTATTGTGTATTTTAGTTGTGCTTGGCAGATGTTTTGGCTAGCTTTGTGTTATCAGCCTTGGCTTTCTAGAAAAGACCCATAGAGGAAAGGAAGAAACCACTTGCCTGTAGAAACTTATATGTCCTTCTTTTAGAAAGAACTCACGTAGCCGCAGACCTATGGCGGGGATACTGAGCATGCGCCCGCCAGCATGCGCTTGGCTCCGCCCTCCTGCCCTGCCCACCCACTGCTTCTGAGCCACCACCAGGTGTCTGCTGGGCTTCCAGGATTCCCATGACTCCAGCACCTCCTAGACCTGTGGTCACGTGGTAGCGCCCACACGGGGCTTCCCAGGGCTCTGTGGATGGTCTTACCCCTAGTCCACACCCACATGTCTTCTCCTACCCTTCTTCCCAACTGTATACTTAAAAGCAGGACTTTTATTTTTTCCCTTGAGTGTGTTCATTGATGGAGAAATCTCCCCCTGGAAGCTGAACATATATATATATATCTTCTCCATTCTTCTCAGAGGCTTCCCATTCTGTTGCAAAGTATAGTTAAAAAAATGTATTTTTGAAAATCTTGACTTTGGATATTCTCAAATTTGTTCAGAGCTAGGGTAGGCTGAGTATGTTTTAGCCTTCTGGCTGTATTTATTCATCAGTGCATGTTTGCTTTTTTGGCCTTTTTTGTGGCTCTGTATTTTAGTCCATGTGCTCGTGGCTGTGCCTGTTTAACCTGCATGGTAGTCATGCCTTATGTATTAAGTCGATGTGTCACTGTCACATTCAAGGATCAGACTGCAAAGGATAAGGCCCTGCAACACATGGCAGCCATGTCCTCAGCCCAGATAGTCTCAGCCACTGCCATTCACAACAAGCTGGGGCTGCCTGGGATTCCACGCCCGACCTTCCCAGGGGCACCGGGGGTAAGTCACATGCTGAGTCCAGTAACAGTGGCTGCTAGGGGTGGGGGGGTTGGCATGGGGCAGCGTTCAACCTTCCACCCAGCACTTCCTGTAAGTTGAGTCAGCGTAAAGGAGGGAAAAGACCCTATGGTGCTGCTGGGTGCAAAATGGTAATGGTGGTAAGAAGGGGTGGGAGGAGGGGGAGGGGGGAAGAGAAGAAAAGGGTAGGAGAGAAGAAAAGAGGGCGGAGAGGAGGAGAGAAAGGGAGGTAGAGAGGAAGGAAGGAAAAGAGAAAGGCAGAGTGAGAAAAAGGAAGAGGGGGAGAGGGAAGAAGAAGAAAGGGGAATCCTTAGTCCCTGGGGATGGGGAATGAAGTATCACCTTTCCAGTGCCTTTCTGGGTGGTGATCTGCCTTATCTTTTCTTCTTCCTAGCCCTTGGTCTCTATCTCTGCATCCTGAGGGTCACCTTAGGGCAACTGGTCACTAAGGAGACAAAGTTATCATTTGACACCTACCAAGGGCTGAAGTTAGTAATTTCAACTAATCCTCGAGATAATTTTAAATACTTCTTACTATTATTGCCATTTTATAGACTAGGAAACTGAGATTACTTGGTAACAGAGGTTGAGTAATTTGATCCTAGTCACATGGATAGTGAAGCAGGATTCAAGCCCAGGCTGTTAGACTCCAGAGTCTTTGTTTTCTCTCTTTGCATCATGCTGATGCCAAGCACCAAAGGCCTCAAGAGCACACACAGTGTAGGAGGTGTCTGTCTGCCTCGCTCGTCTGAGCGCTGCTGATCTTGTTCTGAGCTTTGTCCTCTTGGGCCTTCCATGCTGCGAGCTGGAGAAGCTTCAGAATGGAGGAGGAGGAGGATGGATGGGTGCATGGATGAAGCAGTCAGATGCTCAGATCTCTGCTAGGTGCAATGAGAACACAAAAGAATTGGTGCCTGGGTCTTGCCCACAAGGAGGTTTTCAGGAAATCAGAGCTAAAGGGAGTCCTGCGTTGGCGGACAAGAATCTAGGTCTTGATCTTATGGCCATTTGCACTCGGAGAAGGGAGATCAGGTTGCCAGTGGGTGGTGGGCATCCACTGTTCGGTAGCAGAGGTTGCAGTGCTTAGACTTCCTGAACTGTGCTCTGAGGTGAACTCATGACCCTGATGCCTCTTGTGCTTTGCTTTCCAGTTTTGGCCAGGAATGATACAAACAGGGCAGCCAGGATCCTCGCAAGAGTAAGTCTGGGGCGGGGCTGTTACTGACAAGGAGCTGGTGACAGCCCACGGAGGGGGAGAGTCCTCACCTGAGCCAGGCTGCCTGGGGCTTGGTGGAGAAAAGAGATTTAACCTGAGATCCCCCAGTTCCTGCCCCTTCTTATCTGCAGAGCTAGGGCTGCTGAGGCCAGTAGCAAGAAAGAGGTGGACCCCTCAGCTCTGGGAGTTGTTTAAATACCTTGCTCCCACCTTCAGTATTAGGAAGAGTTTCTAGTGGTCTTCCAGCTAGGAATAGGAAGTCAGTCGCTGGCCCTTCATGCCTGGAGGGCAGAGTCTGGGGCCTTCCTGGGAAGGGCCTTGCCTGAGATGGGGCAGTCAGAGTGATTACAGCTTTCCCTGTGGTAGGAGCGACTAATAGGAATCCTGTGATCTGGGGACAGGGAGGCAGAACTCAGTAAATTAGAAGATAAAAGCAGTTTGGGGATAAAAGCACAAAGGAAATCTTGCCTATTGTCAAAAAGAAGGTTGAGGTATTTGGTGGAGAAAAGAATCCTGTAGCCTGTCCCCAACCATGCCTGAAAATGGTGACCGCTGACCTTAGTCTCTGCCAGGATGAGAAGAGTGGTTCAAGACACATGTCACAGCACATGGGAGTCAGGCTAACATCTGTCTAGCCTGTCCCACAAAGCCTGC